TTAGTGTGAGGCGGCTCCTTCTCTGCTCCCCACTTCGCTCTTGCCCCTGCGCCTCCAGGAGGGAGTCGCCAGCCTCAGGAGAATCTGCACCAAGGCTGACTTGTTTGAAGTGTTAGTGGCATGAGTCCTTCCTCAGGGTCGGCTTGGAACATGGCCTGGGTGAGCCCTGGACTCTTTCCCTAGCATGGCTGGGGGCTCAGGAGCAGCTGCACAGGTGCCACCCTCTCCACTGTGGACAAGCTGTGCATGGCCACAGGCTTGTCCAGGCGCTTGCTGCCAGGGCCTGTCCTGGGCCCACCTGTGTGGCTCCTGGATGATTTCTTTGCCTCCATACCTCCAGCCAGCTCCCAGGTGTTTCCAGAGGTTGCTGCTGGGACAAGCCATAGCATCTTTTCCTCTGCTGCCCTTGCCTCTCAAGCCAAGTCCCTGCAGAGATGCCGTTATTGGCCCATTGCAAGGCAGTCGAAGTCAAAGCTGTGCAAGAGTGCGTCTGTTTCCTCTCTGTCCTGCTCCCAGGCAGGCAGGGTGGGTTGGCCAGGCTCCATTCCCACTCTCACACCAACTGGCCAGTGTCTGATGGGCACTGTACTCAGTCTCACTGGCCCATATAATTGTCATTCGTCACTGAAACAGTCGGAATTGTGTGACTGCATTGTGCCTAGGGCCCTCCTTTGGCCAGGCACTGCGCTTGGTACTGCAAACACAGAAACAAGCCAGACCTGGTTCCTACCTCCTCCCCCCACCCTGGTTCTGCCTGGACGTTGCAGCCTGCACTAGGCTGGCCTCTTACCCATCACCAGTTTTGGGCCAGCCAGGCCACCTCAAAGCTTCTCTTAAGCCGAGGCTGAGCCCCATAAGTCACCAGAAACCTCCCCCATGGCTGCCACCTGCTCCCATGCTACCTCCCAATAGTTCTGCCTGGATTGAGTCTTGACACTGAGAATCCATTGGGCTGGGCTGGTTCTCTCAGCCTGTGTTGTCATTTTGGGTTGAGATCAGGATGAGCCATGAAAGGCAGGGAGAAGCCTGCTGAAGCAGACCCCGCGACCCAGGCCAGCTCTTGAGGAGGGATGGCACACCAGTGCCACCTCTGACATCCTGTGCCAGCCTGGGTCTCTGCCTTCAGAAGCCAGGACCCTCACTTCTCTCACTGGTGGTCAGGCATGACTGTCAGGATGGCAGCACTGAGACCAGGCTAATGCCAGCTACTCGGGGCTGCTGTGATGTCCAGGAGAGAAGAGGAGGATGTGTGAGAAGTACTCAACGTGGCTGGCTCTGGGGGTGACGTGGGAAAGGGAGCCTGGCTGAAGCCCTTGGAGGGAGTCCTCATACAGCCCTGAGAAACAAGGGAGGAAGTTAGGGTAGTAATGGCGGGGAACTTGTCACTGTGCTTCTCCAATTGTCTCTGGTAGCGGGGACAAAGGAGCTGGCCAGGGGGAGAAGAGCCATCCAGTGGTGTCTCCAGAAGTTACCCTACTGGGTCCACCCATGACCCTTGTACTCTGAGGTCTACTGAACCTCAGAGGTCAAGTGTCTGCCCCTGCTCCAGTCACCCTGCTCCAGGTCCAGGGATTCTGGACTAATGACCAGCCTTGAGACTATGCGACCTGAGCATGGGGTGCCTGCCCGCCCCCCACTCCACCCCCAGCCATGGGAGCACCAGCCCCAACCTCTGAGGAAAGAATTGGGAGACCTGTTATGTGAGGGAGAAAACAAGGCAGAACTCAGGCATGGATTGCCACTAAAAATGGTTTTCAAAGAATATTTAATAACAAAATTTTAAAATATATCATAAATTGAATAAATCAGATCACCAAGTCATGCATGGAGTATTATCCTAATTTTGGAAAGTATCCATATATTATATATAAAGAAAAATGTATATGTGCCAAAAAAAAGAATTATTAACGTTGGCTATCTATGTGGTAGGATTATGGGTGTTTGTACTGGTTTTTTGTTATTTTTAAAAATTTCCTCAGCACACATGTAATATTTTCTTAAGTGAGGAAAAACTTTGGGAAAAAAAAAAAAGAGTGCCAAATACTTGCTCAAGGCTTCCCAACAAGAAGAGAAACCTTAGCTAGAAAGTTCCCCATCAGCTTCCCGCAAGGGCACAGGTGGCCGTGGCATTGGCCAGCAGAGCCCCGGGAGGGGCTGCACACCTGCCTGTTCCTCAGCAGACCCTTGGCATGCTGTCACTGCTGGCCCGGATCATCCCACAGGCGGGTGAGAGTGAGGGCCACACCTCATCCCAAGAGATTACCATGCTTGGATATTTTAGGAAGAGCACAGTTTTGAGGTAAATATGGCAGCACTCCCAGGGCACATTTGGGAGAAGTGGGTTCTAAGCGGAAGGCAGGGGAGGCCCGGGCCTGCAAGTCCATTTAGGGAGAGATCCTTATCCATACCGTTTATCCCACAGGTCTGTGTGGGCAGCTGCTGAGTGCTCTGTGGGTGCCTCTGACTCTTGTGGAGGCCTCTCAGGGGCAGGACCAGTGCCCCTTTCCACTGAGGAAGAGCAAGCACAGAGGGTACGTGATGTGGGCAAATTAACGAGGCAGAGCCAGGACTTGATGCCAGCTCTACTGGGCTCTGGAACCCCCCTGTCCTGTCCACAGCCTCCTTTCCTGTGAAACTGCAGGGAATTTCTCTGAAGCACATTACCCACTTCCTTACATAAAGACAAAAGAAATAGGGCCTGGCATGGGGACCAGTACTGCACTGCCATTGTGAGGATGTCCCTGGGGTGCTGCTCTGCCCTGACTGTCCCACACCCGGCTCTTCCCTTGTGTCCTCCTGTCAGTGTTTACTCACTGCTGTCATTGGGCCTGAGTTGACCGCCCTGATTTGTGCTGCTAATGTGCAGCCTTGAATGTGACAGCTGCAGGAGTCAACCAGGTAACCAAGATGGCCTTGGTGACAACACTGAGACCACATCAGCTATGTCCACATTATCTCCCTTCTCGGGGGGCTTTTCGATTTGATGTCATTTGGTGGCTCCCTGGGCGGGTAGAGGTGCTAGCAGTTTGGCCGTCAGGAAGGCCGTGGTGGTTGTACTTTGGCTTTACTGCAGAAGAAAGTTGTATCACAATCCTTATGTTTCTGCTGTGCACACCTGAGGAGCCAGGCAGAGTCTGCATCTTCAAAACATCTTCATTTCACAAACTCTCCTGGTGCCCCTGAGCCATGCCAAGGTTATGGGCTGGGCATGGCAGATACCAAATGTTGACATTTCTTCAACAGTTTCCAAACCTTCACTGCCCCGGATGTTGGGAGGAGGGAGCTATAATGGCAGGTAGGTTCCATGTCCTATGGCAGCTGGGTGCTTAGGCTCTGTGACGGGAGATGTCAGAGTGGCAGACAGATTCTCTGGCTAGAAGGGCCTTTGGAATGAAAGAGTCCTATGTCCTCATGTCACAAATGGGAAACTGAAGTGTGGATAAGAAGGGATTTGTCAGACACTAAGCAAGTCAGTGGCTGATTTGGAACCAGAATAAGATCTCCTGACATTTGGGCCAGTGCTTGAAGCCCTAGGCTGATGAGGACCTCACCACCTTCCAGACAGCCTGGGCCCTCCCTTGGCAGATGTGGGAGGGTCTCTTCCTCTGCACTCACATACGGAGGCCCTCCTGGGTCCAGGTGGAGGGGCTGCTGTCCCGCAGCATGGCCCCAACCTCCACCCTGCTGCCAGAGCTGCCCTCCCCAAGGCCCCTCTGCAGGGGTGCAGAGTGTGAACTGCACATGGTGATTCCACCTTGCTGGACTGTGCCTGTGGATGGGGGCGGACCCAGGATCTGCTTTTAATGACATGGTTTGGGCAGCTGGACTCTGTCCCAGCAGGTAAATTATAGGCTTAGCAAGTCATAAATCAAATAACACTCCAGCTCCCAGCAGCTGCTCCAAGGAGAACAGTGGTTTCCGGGAACAGTGGAGGCCGAGACAAACCTCCCCACCCGACTCAGCCTAATGACCACCTGTCAGTCCCTGGGACAGGGGCCTTTTCTTTGACAAGAAGCAGGACAGGGCTGCCAGGCACCCAGGATGACACAGACTTTGGTGACCAGCCTGTTCTTAACTCCTAGATAAAAGCAAACACTGGCAGTCCCCACCCTTGCCCTGCGCCTGGCCAGAGGCTGCCCAGTCACCACACTCTGGGGAGAACGGACTGCTCCTCAGTGGGGCAGGAGGGGGAAGCGAGTTCATCTGGACTCTGAAGGGGTGGTGGTGACTGGCTGCAGTTCTGTGCTGAGGGTCTGGAGGCCCTGTCCATGTTCAGTGGGAAGAGCCCCAGCTGATTCTGATGTTGGCCGTGAGCACAGGAGTAGGTGGTGGTGGCCTCTGCCATGTCCTGGCCTGAGCCACTCACTGCAGTGGCTGCTTTTGCTTCTGCTAAGAGTTACCTTCATCTCAGTGCTGGGCCCCGAATGGGTCAACATGGTACAGACAGTCACGGGAACGGAAAGCCTCCAAGTTTCTCTGCTTCCCTGGGGGGGTGGGGGGCGGTGGTCACACCTTTCCTCCGGGCAGGAGAAGGGGCAGCAGGCAGACATGCACTGAAAAATGCCCCCACCGGCTTCAACCTTAGGTCATGAGGCCCCTCTAGCTTGTTCCTTTTCTAATGTGCTAACTGTGCCCACAGGCCAAGTTAGGAATCCAATAATCCACTGTGCTGAGGCCGTGTGCACATCTAATTATGTTCCAGAAATGGCAAGTGCTGTGCCTGGGAAGGGGCAGGCCATTGTGCCCACACCCAAACCCTGTGGTGAATGGTGCAAAGCCTGTCAGCCAACCTCAGACCACCCAGGGTCGGCCATGAGCAGGTTCTAGAACAGGACTTTTGTGCTGAGCCCAGACACACAGCTCCAAGGCTGCTGCATGCATTAAGCCACCCAAGAGCTGGAGGGACAGTCTGCCATAACCCCAGGGGAGGGAGGCACAGGGACATGGAAAGTACAGAAGTCGGGTAGGAAGTGGGCAGGGGACATGTGGGACTCCCCCCCCCAAACTCTTCTTGAGTGGTGACAGCACGTGAGGGTTTCGTGTGGGTTGCCTAATCCAAATGGGGAGGGCCACTGCAGCAGGGCCGAGTGGCCAGGCCTCAGTGGCAGCCACAGGCCTTGACCACCATGTTGCGGTGCTTGCGCAAGATAACGTTGTTGCTGCTGTCATAGTACAGCACGGAGGTGGCACTCAGCTTGGTGGGTGCACAGCACGCCTTGGGGACTGCATCTGGCTTCATCAGGTGCACCTGGTCAGGGAAGGGCACAGGCAGGGCCATGAGCCTGGAGGGCTCTGAGGACCACCCAGCCTGACCTGCTCCTGGCCCTGCCCGCGTCGCAGGTCTCAGCCCGCTTGTCCCACCGAGCTCATATTCCCCCTGTGCAGATCTGCCCCTGCCCACCACCCCCCAAGCACAGCCCGGCTCCTGGAATGGCCGGCCAGGCCCCAAACACCTGCCCCTGGGTTCTCCCGGCCCCCGCCCCCTCCCTGCCCCATCCACAACCCCCAGGCCCTGACAGTCCTGCTGTTCCCAGCACACCGTGTGCCTGGGCACCCTCTGCAGCACCTTTTCTAGGTCCCTCTGCCTCCCTGCTCTTCTCTGCACTTCTAAGATACGCTCTGTGGGATCGTGTCACCATTAGCTGTTGTCCCCTCCAGACTGTGGGCAGGGAACGTTCATGGAACAAATGGATAAAGCCTAGAGTTTCAGTTCACCCTCAATGTGTGTCACCCTCCCAACAACTTCTAAGGCAAATATTCCAGCAGCAGAAGACACTGAGGGCAGGAGGCCACGCGCCATGCCTGAGGCGTAGGGCTCTCTGATGTATGGCAGGACTTGGGCCCGAGAGCAGGGTCCTGTGTCCTCTCTAAAACAGCTTCTCCTCACCAGAAAGAGCCAGGCTGAGTGAGCTGACTGCTTGCAGCCTCCGTAAGAACATTTACCCCAAGACGTGGCAGCTGAGCTGCAGTGTGCACTGGGCTCCTCGCGGGGCCCCACTGCAGGGCCCTGAAATGGTGCCGTGGCCTGTCGGGAGGCCAGAGGGAAGAGCTACCTGCTGTCAGGTGTGTTTCGGCTGCTTGGCTGGCTGAGGACCTCCCAGGCCTCACAGACGCAGGGAGCAGGACTGGGACGAAGCTGTCTGATGGGCGCCCTGTCCTCTTCTCCCAGCCTTTGCCCCCAAGCCCCAGCTCGGAGCCAGCCTGCCAGGGAGGGCCATCAGCTGGGCCCTGGGCCAGCGTGGGGGCAGCGGCCTGGCGGGGGCCCACCGGGAAGCCGAGGCCTCTGGAGGGGTATCCAGCAGACTGGGGCGAGGGGCTGCCCCTCCCCACCTTCCACTTCTAGGCCCAAGTGGGAGAAACCAGGAGCCACCACCCACAGGTACGGACCATGGGGCCCCAGTGGCGCGGAACCAGAGGGGCCTTGCTGAGTCGGGACACCAGAGAGGGGAGCTGGGCACCTCAGGGCTGCCATTCCGGGACTCCTCACCATAGGCCTGAGCTCTGTCAGAAGCGCGACAGAGAGAGAACGGCCTTTATTCCAGCTGGCACCAAGCACATTGACTCTGGAGTCTCACTTGCCGTGCGTTCGGTTCATTTTGAGCCACATGCCACATGGGAAACCAAATGGAAGTGCTGGTGCTTAGGGGCTGTGCGTCCTTGGGTACAAATCGAACGTCTGTGGGCCTCAGCTTTCTACCCCAAACACGTGTAATCAGACTTTTCCCGTTTCCCGCAGAAACACATCTCAGGCACATGCCTCGTGCCAGCCCTGCCAGGATGAGGAGCGCAGAAATGCCCAGACGCGATCCCTCCGCTGACAGCCTCAGTGGGAAGTGGGCGGGCACCCAAGGGGACATTTCAGTGAGTGCGGGTCACAGTGCAGTGGCACAGGCAACAGCAGGCCCTCAGTGCTCTGGGAGCAGGAGCGTGGTGACCAGCTGGGCCAGGAAGGACGTGTGGCTTGGGGAGCTGGACAGGTGGGCAGGGTGGCTAGTGAGGGTCCTCATGTCCCAGCCCAAGGCTCGGGCTTCCCCCTGGACATAGGGGAAGGACCACGGGCCCCTCGGTCGAGAAGAATGTGCTCAGATCCTGTGGGCTGCTGTGTGAACAACGGCCCTGGGGGCGAGTCCAGAGGGACCTGCTTTCTTCTCTCGGTCCTCAGGTTGCCCCCCACACATCAGCCTCCCCTGCCGGCTCCCTGTGGCTCCTCTTCCTCCCTAAGCCCACAGCAGCCCAGGCCTCGCTCCTCCACCCCCACCCCCGCCCCTGCGTGTCTGCTCCTTCTCCGGAGGATCTGGTCTATTCTCGGGAGTTAGAGACTGTCCACAGGCCGGTGTCTCTCACAGTCCGAGCGTCAGCTTGGACCTGTCCTCTGAACTCGACTGCGGATCCAGCTGCCCACCACCCTCGCCACTTGGGGTCTAATGGCCTCGAGCGGAGCTACTGATCCCCTGCAACCCTGATGACAGCTCTGCTCCCATGCAGCCCACTGGTCCTTATCCTAGTCCTCGTTCCTGACCTCGAGGAGCAGTCCCTCAGCCATGCGCTGCTCAGGCCCTCACCTGAGGCCTCCCTGACCCTTCCCTCACCCGCTCCCTGAGAGAGGCCCTTGCTCAGGCTCCACCATCTGTGCTGCCTGGACCCTCTTCACCAACCACTGGGATGCCTGGTCAGGTGCCCACAGCAGCCAGACAGGAACTTCTAAAGAGTAACTCAGATCACAACGCTGCTGTGCTAAACCCTCCAACAGCTTCTCAGTGACTTGAAATAAAATCCACCTCCTAACCAGGGACCCCCAGGCCTTATGAGGGCTGGCCCCGCCCACCCCAATTTCACCTCCCTCCGCCCTCCCCTCGCTGACTACACTCCTGCCCCCGCCTCCTGCCTGCTGGGAACCCACCCCACTTGCTCCCGTCTTAGGGCCTGTGCACTTTCTGCTGTGCCTGGAACATTCTTCCTCCAGCTCCTGACACGGCTCCTCCTTGTGCAGAGAGGCCCAGCCCAGTCTCCCTCCACTGCAGAACCATGGGCGCATCGTCCAAGTCCTCGGCTTACTTGAGTGTTCACCGCCAGCCTCCCCTAGAGGACAGTGGCTGTCTCCCTTGCTGAAGGCACGACCTGAGCACTCACTTTGTTGAGTCTCCAGGGCCCTGGGCGGAGGCAGTGGCAGGGGTGGAGCAGAGGGATGGGGTCTTGGGGGTGCAGGTCCATGATCTCCCCAAGCACCCCCCTCACCAGGGCCTGAGAACCACGTGGCATAAAGGATGGCCTGGGCTGGGCCGCCCCACACATCCCATCCTCAGCCTGAGCTTCTCCCAGGAAGGCGGTCCTGGGCTTCCAGCAAACGCCTTTGACCGCTGAGAAAGGAACGTCCTCACAGGCCCACAGCCACGTCTGTTCATTCCCGTTCTCTCTAACACATCAGCTTCGAGCAACCTCTTACTAGAAAATATATCCAGGGAGACACTAGGAACCAAGACTCTAGGTAAAACGTTCCAGTAGGAAGTTTCAGCACCAGAGTCAACAAACATTCAAAACCCTTAGCACTAAGCAGCAGCAACGCTCCCACCAGACACTCTTCCATCACTTAGAATTGCCCCAGACACGGAGGCATCAAGTGCCCCACGATCTGGAGGAATCACGAAGCTGAGAAAGGAGCCAGAGAAAAGCCAAAGGGCTCAGCCAAAGCCCTGACTCTCCCTGCCCGGCCACGCAGAGGGGGAGAACGCATGCGCACGACACTCACAACGTGTGCGCGTGTGTCCTGGGAGGTCAGACGCTCCAGTGGACACGGGTGCACGTGCGTGTTAACGATCACACGGGCCACGTGGGCAGCACGTCTGTCGTGCATGTGCTGTGCCACTGACCATAGGGGGCCGTGCCTGTGCCAGTCTGGTGCTCATGGAGGTGCACAAGGGCTCCGTATGTATCAGTGTGCAGACTGCGCGTGTGTACGCAGCTGTCAGATGTGAGTCTGCGGTGTTAGATGCCCCGTGTATGCAAGTCCACGTGCACAGTCGCGGCCATGTGAGGGACCAGCTTCTGCAGTGCTGTGGGATGTAACCACATCCTGAGATGCAGAGCAGCTGCTCTACCGCCCTCCTGGCTGGACGAGCCCCCTCCTCAGAGCACCCCCACCCCAGGGGGTCGAGTACTGACCAGGGACTGCAGGATGGCATGGTTGGTGGCGTTCATGCAGGAGTTCAGCGGGAAGGAGCACTCCCCCTCACAGTAATAGGCCGAGTAGCCTTGGGGGGCGATGACCCAGTCCTGAGGGCACAGGAGAAAGTGAGTCCCATAACGTGCCCCTCCTGAGCCCCTCAGCCCTGCACCTGTCAACAGGGCTGCCCCTTACCGTCCCTGAGCCTTAGGTCCTGTCAGCCCACTCTCACCCCTCCTGGGCTGTCTCTCCCCAGAGGCCTGAATCCCCCCAGAGGCCCTCAGCAGACAGGCTGGGCACAAGCTCTGTCCCCATCACACCCATCTGTGCTCTGAGCCCTCGTCCCCAGCCCACCCTCTCCCTCCCATTCCTCCTGGAGCTTCTGTCGCAGCAAATGCACAGAGGTGCTGCCCACGCCACCTCAGTTCCCCTGCTGCAGAGCTGACTGCTTAGTTTTCTGAGGACTCAGTCTCCTCCATTTTCATGGTTTTGAAAAAACAAAAAAACAATAAAAATCCTTTTCTACTATTAAAGTACATAGTCTCAATTTAGAAAACACAAAAGAAAAAATAAATGAGCAGAAAAGTAAAGTCACACATAATTCTGCCTCCACCCTGCAGTACACTTAGGATCTGCAGTTGGGGACTGTCATTTAAATAAGGAAGAAGGAGAGTCAGAAATTACCAGCCAGCCAAGGTCCTGGAAGCTGACGTAGAGCTCGTGCCGACGGCATATCTGCTGGCCATTGGAGCCGTGGATGTCATCTGCAGGGGACAGAGGGTACAAGGTCTCTTCTGGGGTTCCTGCTCTGTGCAGCTGCCTTGGGGTGCTTGCAGGGAAAGTGGGGGGAAGGCCCTGATGGGCGCATTTGTGAAATAGACAAATGACAGAAAACTAAACCATGTGGTCTCATAAAGGCCATACTCAGAGCTCTGCTTGTGCCATGATCCAGGTCAAGAGCCTTCAAGGACTTGCGATGACTACAGAGTAACTATGCTCATCCCAGCCCCCGTCTCAGCCCGTGGGCCTCCAGATACTCCAATAAAGAGCCTCG